GAGAGGCTGACGGCTAGGGCTTCCGGTCTCCGAGAATTCTTTGCAGAGCTTCGCTTCCAGTTTGCAAAATAAGAGAAAAGGAGGAGGCTGCAGCCTTTTTATAGTGAGTTGCAGGAAACCCTAGGGTTTATGGGCAATTGGGCCGTAAAGAGACCCATTAGTCTCTTAAAAATAATTGGGCCGGTACTGGGTTGTTACATTCTACTCCCTTCACTACCATCTAGAACCAAGACTCTAATCTCTAGCTAGCATCTACTTGTGAAAGGAGTCCTAGAAGATCAATCATGACAGACCAATACAGAGAAATGGTCAGTATGCAGAGAACAAGGAGGAAGAAGAAGAAGATTCATAGCCATTGCGATGAAGCTTTTGCCATCTCCATGCAGTCTCCAAACTCTCTTTAAGATTTGTGTGCTTAGCTGTCCAGTTCAGCTCCTCTCTGATCTTGCTTGGATCGCTGTAAACCTCTGCGTAATCTCCTGCTCTTCTTTCTAAGTAATCAACTTTTATATCAACCCCTGTGGCCTTCTTGCACGCTTCCACAAACTCTTTCACCGAGCTACCTGCTCACACAACCACATTCTCTATAAATATTAGCATCACTTTTGTTTTCTTCAATATATAAAATCTTTTAACCAAGAATCTATTTGCATACCTTTACCAGTACCAACATTGAAGATTCCAACTCTGCTAGGTTTCGCCTTTTCAAGAGCTTTAACATGAGCATCAACAAGGTCTGTGACATCAATGTAGTCACGTACACATGTCCCATCAAGGGTCTTGTAGTCTGTTCCTTTAATCTACGGACAAAGAACAAAATAAACATGGAACAAAGATTGGTATGTAATGAATGTGATGACACAAAGAATAGAGAGTGATAATTACCTGTAGACCGGGAATGATGCCTCGTGCAGCATCAAAGCAAGCACCAGAGATCCTTCCATGCTCTCTGAGTTCTGGTCTTGGAGCTTCACCTAGTCTTCCCTCAGGATCAGACCCAATCACATTGAAGTATCTAAAAGAAAACAAGAAAGTCAGCTTCAGGGGAAGAGAAAAGGAGCATTGAACCAACCACCAACCTGAGGATCATGACAGCCATGTTGGAGTTTTTGGAGAAGTCCAAGATGATATCTTCTGCCATCTTCTTAGCCTTTCCATAAGGATTGATAGGAACCTGAGGAGTTTCCTCTGTTATTGGCATCTTCTCAGGCTCGCCATAAGTAGCACATGTGCTCGAATATATCAAAGTCTTCACACCATGAGCAGCCATAGTCTCTAGAACCACCAATGTGTTTGATGTGATGTTGTGGTAATACCTGCAAGTGACATAACATCAGCTACTACTATATATGCTTTCTCATCCGTTTACACAGTAAATGTAAACTCTCTTTTGATGATACTCACTTGAGAGGAAACTGTGTGCTTTCTCCAACGTAAGCAACAGCTGCGAAATGCATCACAGCGTCAAATGCATTCTCTGAGAATATTTTGTTAACCTGAATGAACTCTTTGTTAAGCAAAAAAAAAGTGTAGTATTCGTTTTTAAGGTGCTTATATCTAGAATTAGAACTAAGGATACAGCATGTGCATCTCCAAGATCAGCGTAAATGAACTGAAGCCTTCCAGGTTCAGGAAACAGCTGCTGTAATATTTTAACTGCACCGAGGTTGCCCCGTGATAGATTGTCCTGCCAAAAAACACAAAGAGTGATGAAACACTAAGCACAAGAGCATAGATTTAAAGTAAAGGTAACGAAGATATATAATATACCACTATGGTTACACGGTATGAATCTCTAAGAAGGCGTAAAGCTGCATGTGAGCCGATATAGCCCGCACCACCAGTGACTAGAACGTGTGTAACTCCAGGTTCATGTAGAGAAAACTGAAAGATTGAGAAAACATACAACCACTACTCAGAACATTATGAGAAACTATATCTAAGAACATTATGGGGAAGTAATAATACCACGCTTGGAGCATCGAAAGTTGGAGATTGCTTGAGCACTAAAATGCACATTGCTGTAAGGGAAATAACCAAAACAATCTTCCCCGTGTAATCATTGTTCTTCTTCTGATCTGCGTACTCTAATCCTACACTCCAAAAACCATCAAGATCGTGTAGGTTTTGAATCCAAAATTAGAAACACAACAAAAGCTTATGACTTCTGAAATCTCTCAGCTTACCAACCAATGATGAGCTTTAGAAGAAGAAAAAAAAAGATTAAAAAGCAGTGATAATCAGTGTACATCTCTCTCACCTTCAAAAGACATGGATCTGTTTTGTCTCCCTTGGATTCTTGCTCTACCAAGATTCAGCATTTTGATTAAGAAAAGCAGACGGCCTAGTATCAGTTCAGCTGCAAATGTCGGTCATTAAAAAAATGACAAATGCAGAATAATTTATAGTATATAAAAAAAAAACTACTATATGCATTAATCACACCGACACAAAGTGAAACATCAGCTTTAGACATCCAAGTTTCATTAGGAAACAGAAAAACAAAAATGGTGTAGAGTTGGGACTTTAACCAATAGCAGAAACGTAAGAACAAACAAGCAAGCAAGCAAGCATAAAAGGGTTATATTCACAACTCCACTATCAAGCAGATACACAAGAGAGATGTAAATACCTGATAGAGAAAGAGAGATAAAGAATTGATTTTTTTTTTTTTGCGTGGGTTCTGTTTAGAAATGTTTGAAGTTAAAGGAGGAGAAAGAGGGAGTATAAGTGAGGAAAAGCAAAGAGAGAGCGGTGTTGTAGAAGGTAGTAATGGCGCCTTTACGGTGAAAGCGAGCCAAGGGGCAACACAAGACGAGAGATCCAAATAAATTTATTTTAAAATTTAGTATTACTTTATATTTTTTGATATACTAAAAGAGCGAATGAGAATGCAACAGAGACATAATAAGAGACGCGGTGATTGGAACACGGTAGCTCCGGCAGCTTGTGAGTGAGTGAGTGAGAGTCCCGACAAACACGCTGCGCTGATTTGTCGGCAAAAAGTTCTACTACGTGGTTTTCACTCTATGGCCAATGCTCTCTACTACTAGTTGACCACACTTTTTTATAATGCAGTACTAAACAACTTTTTGAAAACAAATGTAATCTATCAATTTTTAATTATCACAATAACATGGGAGTTTATGCGGTTCACGTTTTATGTGTGGTTCTTATGTTTGGGCTTTTTTCTTATATTTGGGCTTTGTGTTTTGGAGAAATCATGTAACCCGCCGACCCATATATTTCAACTAGATTTCAAATTAAAAAAAAAAAAAACAATCCCACAAAAAAAGTGTAGAAGAATATTCGAGCAAATAAAAACGCATGAAAATATCTCTCAAACATAACAGATAGATAGATAGATAGTTAGGGGAGTCTGGTCCGCCAGTAAAAATCTCATGACCGTAGACTGAAAATGGAGGCTTCATCTCATCTCTTTGCACTCCCTTCCCGTCTCCAGACACCTTCTTCTCCGCTGATCTGTAACATCCTCGACATTGTTGATATTATCCTCTCTTCTTATCTTAATTTTCTGACGCTCGTGTTGTTTCATACAGCCTCAGCACCAAACAGGAATCGAGTTCGTGTCCATGCGAAACCATCATCTCCGGAGAGCTTAGATTCGAACGATTTGGATTCTTCCTTGGATACTACCAACAAAACACAGGTTAAATAATCTTTAAATGAAAATAAGAACATTTTTACTCTGTTTTAAGTTATCTGATTCATTAACAGTAAGCAAATTTATTGTTTAATTTGGTGACTACAAGTAGCCAACCTAACAACCAGCTAGTTGATTTTGTTCACATCCTCTAGCTATATACTATTTGGCTTTTATTGATGCTGAGAGAATCTCCAAGTCTAATACAAAATCGGTAGATCAACACTAGTGTGCGTATTTGAATGTTAATTGTTCACAGTAACCTTGGTGGTGAGCTAATTGTAGTTAAGAATCTATAGTTTTGCTGGCATTTCGATTTTGCTAAAGAAAAATCTTTAAAGAGTTTTTAGATGGCTTGTGTTCTTGGCTGCAGGGGGATGAGAAATCGAAATCGATGTCACGGAGACAGTGGATGATGAAATGTGTTTGCTTATCTCCAGCTTTGATTAGCAATGCTTACACATTTGTCTCTGTAAAAAGCGCAGACGCTTTGGAGAAGAAACCAGGAGTTTGCCGTAACTGTCAGGGCATTGGTGCTGTTCTTTGTGAGTCACACTTCTTCGCTTGTTCTTATGTTTTAGTTTCTAATAAAACACAAAAGGCAAACAAACATATTCGCTATACTGAAGTTTTATAGCTTTATGATTACTCTGTTTCGTAATCTTGCTATGTTGTTTATATGATTTAGGTGATATGTGTGGAGGTACAGGGAAATGGAAAGCTCTCAACCGAAAACGTGCGAAAGATGTATATGAGTTTACAGAATGTCCTAACTGTTACGGTTTGTCTCTCTTTCCCACCATTTATATCTAATGTAGTTTGGTTTTGCGGTTCTCTGTTTGATTTTGGTGGCCTACTATTTGCAAACAGGTCGAGGCAAGCTTGTTTGTCCGGTCTGTTTGGGTACAGGTTTACCAAACAACAAAGGACTTCTTAGAAGGCCTGGTGCTCGTGAGCTACTCGACAAGATGTATAATGGTCGGCTTCTCCCCAATTCATGAGCAGGTTTAGGTCCTTTACTTGTATTACATCTCCAAATGTTAGATTATTGGTTCGTTTGAGAGATAAAATCTTCAGCGTGCTCCTCTCTCTGAACATTCTCTCTCTTGTAACTCTCGCAGATTGTTACTATAAATCTGCTTTTAAGCACAGAGCCAATAGAGAAGCTATAGAAGAATGTAATTATTCAAGATGTTTTGTAATGATGGCTTGTCAATTCTTACATACAACTACAGGTTTTCAGAAAATTTCTGAGAGTCTTATTCCTTGCATATCATCATTCCATATTTCAAAACAGGAGAAAGTTCTCCAAAACGTCACTATTATGTTGCAGTTTTGTTCAAGTTTGATGAGTTCTCTTTGTTTACCTTGTGATAGTGTATGTGGAAATATGAAAATGTCCTTAACAAAATTCATGGTAATACATGTGTAAATGTAGATGACGTAGGAGTCTAAACTTTCAACTAGAAATCATAAGTCCTAAACCTCGAATATGTACCACCCTAATATACAGTCATGTTGGATGAATCGCTACTTAAGAATAATTAAACAGAGCTGCGTTTAGAATTTGACCGTGTTTTAAAATTGTAAGATTATAAAATTAGCCATAAACAACTGCTTACAGACAATTTATAAAACAATAAACAGGTATTCAGATGACAAAAAGCAATAAATTGGATAGTGAAATGTGAATGTTAAAGAGCAATATGTAAAATATGTAAGCATAGAGTCGGTTTTGATATAATTAGACGAATTCAATGAACTCTAACCAACCTGCATGGGAGACACATGTTCATGAGCATTCCTCTGTATTAGTTATAATTTAATTAGTCAATTTTCATGTTTCTCTTTTTCTTCAACCATTTATCATGTTAAATGACTTTTTATTGGAAAGTATGCAACAGCCAACATGCGATACACATGCATTTGTAGTTGTTAAATCAGTCCACCTAGTTTTGAATGGTACACATACTTGGCACCAATTAATTGTATTTATGTGTGTGGTTTAATTTTGTCAATAAAATTACTGCAATTTACAATATGCAGGTACATGGTTGGTAAAAACATAATGATAGATTTTAAAATAAATGAAAAAGTTCGTTTAGTTGTGTGAAAAAGGCCTATATATATACTCATACTAAACATCTACTATTGCAACAGACAGAAGCATAGTAAAACACACATATAAACAAATGACTTCTTCAGTAACCACTTTAGCCCTAACCCTAATTCTGCTCTTCCACCTCTCGCCGGAAACAACCGCAGCTCGCCATCTCAACGATCAGAATCCAACAGATGAAATGAAAAATCTGTTTCCACCGGGGTTGTCCTTCACCGGCGTTCCTCCGTTACCGTCACTCTTTCCTCCGTTCCCAGGAAATTTTCCCCTTTTTCCATATCCGTTACCGTCACAGTCATCACCTCCGGCACCACTTCCCGGTTTCCCTGGCGTTAACTTTCCTCCACTTCCATTGCTCACGCCGCCACCTGCGTGATTCTAGTGGTTAATGCCGGCGTTATTTTATGATAATTATCGCGTTGGAATAAACTACGTACACATGGTGATATGGATATGATAATCATGTGTACTCGATGATATAAAATGTTAGTGTTTTATGAAAGTTTAATCAAGATATGTCGTGTAACACTATGTTTGATCTGATAAATAAAGAATTCGATTTGAGTTCCTACTTCCTAGCACCGGAAATCTTTCTCAGTATCTGCAGTTTGGACTCTTCCCACTCTCATTTCCATGAAGTTTACTAGTGAGAGTGATGTCATCAAAACGACCATGTACCTAAGTAAAGATGAATGTATAATTCTAATTAATATGGTTGATCCAATTTTTGATTGAAAAATAGTACTCAATAAGTGTAAACAGTAAAGTGATAATTTCTTATTACTTTGGAAATTGTTTCTCTCCTACATTTCACAAAGTCAAAGATCATGAACCTTTTATGAGTGTTTCGAACAGTATTTTATTTAACCAATTATTTCAATATGGATGTGAGGGATCCAATGTAAAATTCTATTTTTCCTCTAAAATAAAGTAAAATTGAAATATAATATAAAAATATTTCAATCCTATCATATTTTTTATTCTATAATAGAATAATGAACAAATAAAAAATAAATTAATCCATTTATGGAATAAATTCTATCATGAAACTAGAAATGAAATAGGATTGAAGTATTTCTTATTTTATATTTTGTTATTCTATTTTAAAATAAAAATTGAAATTAGGTTCGAAATGCCCTTATACTTCATAGTTTACAATTTGTACCTTAATATTAAAATTGCTAAACAAGAGGATAGTTGTCAAAATATTTATACTATTATTTAGTTTATTACATTTACTTTTTTTTTACCACAGAATCAATTAGGATTCAGGTTTAGTTTACATCGGTTACTTCCTGTAGGAAAATGCTAAGTACACAAAGAGCTTAAAAAACAGCATGTTTCAGACCTTTGGAATCCTAATCATTCTTGCTTTACCTGAATTTCTGCAGATGTAGCGTTGTCAATTAGGTTTGGTTTATCTCATGACTTGTCAATTTTTTAAAGTATATCAATAAATAAAAATAGAAAAAAAAAATCAAATTATATGGTCTTAAGAGGCTAATTAAACATATCATTAGCTATCTGAAATCTGATGGAGATAATGGTCACTGTTATGTCTTACATAGGAGACGCTGTTTCTGACATGTCTTGTTGGTTTCACTACAAAAACCAGTTTCTGGTTCAACCCTTGTTCCAAGTACCACATGTTGGTTTTTATCTTGTTGAATGGAGACTGGACTCAGAACTGCATCTAGCTCACCACATGATGCTGCTATTAGTCCTGGAAACAAGAATTGTAACTAATTCAAAATTTCTGAGCAGATAAAAAAAAAAGTTTGGTGAGTTTGCTGCAAAATCATAACAAGAAATCTTACCTAAGAACAATGGAGATACTTTCCCGGGTCTAGATTTATACTCAGGATGGAATTGAGCACCAATGAAAAAAGGGTGGGTTGGAACTTCAACAATCTGCAATAGAGAAGAAAGATTCATATAACAAAAACCGAGTTTAGATTAGTTTAACAGTGGGACAAAACTGACCTCTATGTGTTTGTTAGTCTCATCTTTTGCAGCAAATGAGAGACCTGCCTTCTCGAGGGATACAGCCATATCAGGATTCACCTGCAAGAAAAGCAATTAAGTTTCTTGCGTATCAAGAAACCTAAGTCTGTAATTCAAATGTAATAATTACCTCGTATCTATGGCGATGCCTCTCATCTACAAACTCCTTGTTCCCATATCTGCAAGAACCAGTTTACATAAGTAATATTTTAGCATTCACTGAGTGATTTTTGGATCGATGATGGTTTCTTACAGCCTTGCAGATATACTGTCCTTGACATGGAAGTAAGCTCTTCTTGATCCTAATCTCATTGTCCCTCCCTTATGAGTCGTGGAGCCTTCAGACATGAAAACGATGCATGGATGTTTGGTTTCAGGATTGAACTCAGTGCTATTTGCATCGGGCAAGCAGAGAACTGAGCGTGCAAACTCGATGACAGCGACTTGCATCCCAAGACAGATACCTAGGAAAGGTATGTTGTTTTCTCGAGCGTATTTTGCTGCAAGAATCTTCCCTTCCATCCCTCTTTCACCATACCCTCCAGGGAGAAGAACTCCATTTGCGCCCTGAAGAAACAACACAAAGATCTTGAGGCGATCTCAGAAATGTTTAAAATAGTGAAAAAAAATGTTAAAACAAACCTTCAGTAACTTCCAGGCAGCCTCGTATGCGCATGAGTTCTGCTCAAAAGAAACACATTATGTTTATAGTTTTTCAAGAACAGAGAAAAAAACATGAATGCAGTTAATCTGATTTGTATTACCTCTATCTTTGTGGTTATTTCAAGATCAGAAGATGGAACCAAATCAACTACAAGCTTTTTTCCAAAAGCCACAGAAGCATGCATTAGGGCCTAAACAAGTTAAACTCATGCAAATAAGTCAAATATTAAAGAAAATTTTCCTATGATAGATCTAAAAAATTTTTGTCATAAATATTGACATTAAAAATAAAAGTGATCAATATAAACTTAAATGTTTTATCAAAATAAGTAAATATACATTTATACCATGTGGGATAAACTAATTCTAGATTTTTTGTTTAGAGTTGAGGAATAGGGTTTTGAGGTAGGATTTCAAATTTTTAAAAATATAAGAATTTTAAAATTTTCAAAATAAATTTTTTTTTTTTTTTGAATTATACAGAGGTATCATGGCCCCACAGGAGTGATCCAAACTAGTCACGTGTTGCCACGTGTCGGTCTTCTGTCCTTGGCGATGCTGAAATGTTAATTCCCCAGTGGTCAGGATTCGAACCCAGATGGCGGTACTCACAACTGTAAACCCTTTACCAGTAGAGTTAGATTCTCCGGTTAAAAATGTTATTTTGATCATTTTAATTTTTAAAGTCTATTTTTGTGATAAAAACTTAAAAAAGATTTATTTGAGGGATTTGCCCAATATTAAACCATACCAAGAGAATAATGTGCCATGGGAGAAAGTGATGTATAAGTTTTACCTTTAAGACTGATAGATATGCATCTGAGAGGTCTGTATATTTCCCAACGACAGCTATTCTCACCTGTAAAAGTTTGACTTGGTTGCATAAGAAAGAGAAATGAGGCTATACGTTGTGTGGTCTATATGGACGTTGAGACTCACTTGTACATGTAAGTTGTCACTAATTTCCACCAATGAAGCCCATTTCTCTAAAGAAGGTTCTTTAACAATACTAGCAAGGTTCAGAACTTTTGAGATTGCTTCATGAGCCTTCTGATCCTGTTTCAAGGAACAAATACAAGTATTACCTTTGATTGTTTTCTTACACTATAATCAAGTAGTTGAAGAATTGGTACCTTGAGCAACAAGGGAATGTGCCCAATGTTATGAACATCATGGAGAGAGAAGATATTTTGAATCTGAAAACAACAAGCATGAAGATATTCATGAGATTTTGAGTAAACAAGACAACAAGGGAAACTATAAACAGGATGATGCATTATATACCGGAACATAGCAAAATCGAGATAGCTTTCCTTTTACATTCTCTTCAAGTACCTATCAGAAGAAAATATAAAAGATTATAAGAAGTTTCTATAATAGAATAAAGAGAATGTGACACCAAGATGAATAAGGTAAACCTGTGTGCTTCGACAAGCTAAAATATCAGGTGTTAAGCCCAATCCTCGTAGATCTCTAACGCTGTGCTGAGTAGGTTTTGTTTTCTGAAGTAAAAAGATCAAAACAAATGTAAGTTTCTCAAAGACATATAATACTTCATTTCTGTAAATATATATACCTGTTCACCAACAACACTGAGCACAGGCACGAGGGTGACATGGATCAGACAGAAATTCTCAGGTCCTAAACATAATCAACAAAAAAATATTAAAACAACTTCAACTAGATATATATCTTAAAATATCACCAGTGAATGGCTAAGATAATTTTTTTATTACCAACACTGTATGATAATTGGCTAAGTGCATCAGTGAAAGGTCTAGATTCATTATCTCCTACAAAACACAAAGATTTCTCTGTTTAGATAAACATAAGAAGCAAAAGAAAGATATCGAAATTTTGATGTTGTTCTTTTGGGTTTAGTTACCTATAGTTCCACCTAACTCGATGATGCAAACATCAGGAGGACCTTCCTTTCCATCTACAGGAAGCATGGCAACTCTCTCCACCCATTCTTTTATTGCATCAGTGACGTGAGGAACAATCTAAAACATTCATTACCAAACAAAACTTTTAATACTCAAAGCTTATGACAAAATAAA